TTCAGCAGAGCCTGGATGGACCCTGGGAAAGGATTTTCAGATGTACCAGGAGATTCCTGCCCCAGGGATGGTCTTTAACCCTTTCCTCTGCCTCCACCTCCTGTGGTCTTGAGGGGACACATCCCATCTCTCCCTAGATCCAGAGCTTATGCAAGGAGACCATGACGACTGATGAGGCCACCAAGAGCGAGGGGGAGGTGCAGGCGGCGGCTCTGGCCGAGCGCGGGGAGGACATCACACCAGCTCAAGACCGGGGGGTCCTGAAGGTGAGGAGGGGCTTCCAGGGGGGTTCCTGCTTTTCTTTCTGCAGCTTGGGGTGCCCGGGCAGGTTGTTGGGCTGCGTCCCCAACCCTTGGGGTCACGCAGGGCTGGAGGACAGATGCTGTCTGTTTATTTGCAAGGAGCTGAGTGTCGCGGGGCGGAGGGAGCGGTGGGGGAGCCTGGTGGATCCAGGCTGCTCGATGGATTTCCCTGCTCTTGTGGCCCTGACCAGATGATCAGCTGTAAATCCACCAAAACATTTTTGTGGGCGACCCAGTTAGAAAGAGGAGATGGCTGAGGTCAGCCAGGCTGCTCCACCAACCCCCCTTCTGCCACGTTCAAGGCCGTTTTCGGGATGGTTCTGCTCCTCAGCACTTGCTCTTCTCCAGGGGAACAGGACCTTCCCTCCAAGAATAGCATCCTCCCCTGCTCCATCCCTGGATCCAGAACTGCCTGTTCCAGGATGCAGCATTCAAAAAAAAAACAAACCAACAACCTATAATAAAATAATAAATAGTGTTGAGAAGAAGAGGTGACCCTGAGGGTGACGTGCCCAGGGTGGTGGTGGAGCCACCACGTCCAGACCCCTCCTCAAAGGCCCAGCAGGTCCCTGCCCTGTGGCTCCACTTTGGGGGGGCTTGTTTCTGGGGGCTGAGGGAAGGAGGAGTTCAACTCCCCCCTGAACCTTTGGTTTAGAGCAGCATGGGCCTCTATGTGCATCTTATATATATATATTTCCTATATATATTTCATTTCCTATATATATTTCATTTCCTATATATATTTCATTTCCTATATATATTTCATTTCCTATATATATTTCATTTCCTATATATATTTCATTTCCTATATATATTTCATTTCCTATATATATTTCATTTCCTATATATATTTCATTTCCTATATATATTTAATTTCATTTCCTATATATATTTAATTTCATTTCCTATATATATTTAATTTCATTTCCTATATATATTTAATTTCATTTCCTATATATATTTAATTTCATTTCCTATATATATTTAATTTCATTTCCTATATATATTTAATTTCATTTCCTATATATATTTAATTTCATTTCCTATATATATTTAATTTCATTTCCTATATATATTTAATTTCATTTCCTATATATATTTAATTTCATTTCCTATATATATTTAATTTCATTTCCTATATATATTTAATTTCATTTCCTATATATATTTAATTTCATTTCCTATATATATTTAATTTCATTTCCTATATATATTTAATTTCATTTCCTATATATATTTAATTTCATTTCCTATATATATTTAATTTCATTTCCTATATATATTTAATTTCATTTCCTATATATATTTAATTTCATTTCCTATATATATTTAATTTCATTTCCTATATATATTTAATTTCATTTCCTATATATATTTAATTTCATTTCCTATATATATTTAATTTCATTTCCTATATATATTTAATTTCATTTCCTATATATATTTAATTTCATTTCCTATATATATTTAATTTCATTTCCTATATATATTTAATTTCATTTCCTATATATATTTAATTTCATTTCCTATATATATTTAATTTCATTTCCTATATATATTTAATTTCATTTCCTATATATATTTAATTTCATTTCCTATATATATTTAATTTCATTTCCTATATATATTTAATTTCATTTCCTATATATATTTAATTTCATTTCCTATATATATTTAATTTCATTTCCTATATATATTTAATTTCATTTCCTATATATATTTAATTTCATTTCCTATATATATTTAATTCCCGCAGCGGCTGAAGCGCCCGGGGCAGGCGGAGGAGTCGCCGATGATCGGGGACAAGGTCAGTGTGCACTACAGGGGCAGGTTGGCCAGCGGCAAGAAGTTCGACTCCAGCCGCGACCGCAACGAGCCCTTTGTCTTCAGCCTGGGCAAGGGTGAGCTGGTCTGGGGGCTCTGGTGGGTGGGGTGGTCCCTGGGGGTGCTGGGGTGGTCCCTCTAGGGGTGGTGGGATGGTCCTTGGGGGTGGTGGGATGGTCCTTGAAGAAATGGGAAGGTCCTTGGGGAGGTGGGATGGTCCTTGAGGAGGTGGGATGGTCCCTCTAGGGGTGTTGAGATGGTCCTTGGGGAGGTGAGATGGTCCCTGAAGAGGTGGGTTGATCCTCTGGGAGTGGTGAGGTGGTCCCTGGGGGTCATGGGATGGTTCCTGGGGAGGTGGAATGATCCTTGGGGAGGTGAGATGGTCACTGGCGGGGGCGGGATGATCCTGGGGAGGACTGGGATGATGGAGGTGAGGCTGGGATGATCCCGGGGAGGGATGTGATGATCCCAGGGGGCAGGTGTGATGATCCCGGAGGGGTGGGACCCCATTGCAGAATAGATGGACAGTGTCAACATCACGTTAGTGACACCCGAGGGTGTGTTTTGGGGGTGTTTTTGTGGGTGCCATCCTCGCTGCACCCACCCAGCCTGGGTTTTCTTTCCTCCAGGCTTCCAATCACTTCCCCCCCACACACCTGCCTGACAACTTCCCTGTCTCCTAGGCCAGGTCATCAAGGCATGGGACATCGGGGTGGCCACCATGAAGAAGGGAGAGATCTGCTACTTGCTCTGCAAACCCGAGTATGCCTACGGCTCTGCTGGCAGTGCCCCCAAGATCCCCCCCAATGCCACCCTCTTGTTTGAGGCAAGTTGTCCTGGCTTTGGGGATCAGCTCCCTCCTTCCCCCCCTGCCCTGCCAGCCAGCTCAGAAAAGGGGTACGGAAAAAAACACACACACAAACCCAACCCTCAAAAAAACCAACCCCAAAAGTTAATAAATGAAGAAGAAGAAAAAAATCCAGCTTGAATTCCTGAAACGTGTCCCTCTGCTCCAGGAACCAGTGCCAGGGTTTTCTCAGAAATGTGTGTCTGAGTTGGGAAGCTGGGACTGAAATTCCAGCTGGGGAAGAGTCCCCGTGCCCAGAGTTTTGGATTCCTGGTTTCCATATGTCCCAAGGGGAGGAGATAAAGGGGTTGGGAAGTGCCTCAGGGTGTTCCAGTCTGGTGGTGGGGCTGCTGGGGGGGTTGGCTGGGTAGGATTTGTGGGGAGGGGGAATTGGGGTCTCCCCAAAATGAAGGCTCAGCCCTTCTAAGTCCAGCAGGTCCTTTGGAGAGCGAAGGAGGAGCTCCTGGTCCTGGGTGGCTTCCCCAGCACCTTCCAGCACCGCATCCTGCCCTTCAGAAATGATTTTTTTGCTGTTACTTCATGTTACTCTTCAGGTTCTGGATGTGTCCCAGTTTCCAAGAAATTGGGTGGATTATTCTGGGGCTGGGAGCTGGCAATTATGGGCAACTTCTGCTCCTCAGCTGCGTGGAGAATGAGCTGGCTTGGCTCTCCAGCCGAGGATGAACTGCTGCTTTGTGGCTTTTCCCTTGGCTTTGGTTTTCCCCTCCCCTTCCCACCTTCCCCCAGCTCTGCCCACGTTTCCTTATTCTTTTTAATTATTGTATTTTTAATTTTTAGGTGGAACTGCTGGATTTCAAAGGGGAGGACTTGTTTGAGGATGGAGGGATAATCCGGAGGATCAAGAGGAAAGGAGAAGGTTATTCCAACCCCAACGAAGGTGCTACGGTGGAAAGTGAGTGTGGGTCGCTCCATGGGGAATGAGCAGCCACTCCTTCCCTCTCCAAGGAGCTGCTGGCATGGGGGTGGGATGCAGGGACATCCATCAAGAGGTTGGGTGGGATGGAGAGGGGCTGGGAGAGCAGTGGGGAGGCTGCTCTGGGCTCTCCTAGGCTGGGAGGGATGGTTGGAAAACCTTGAGCTCTGGGAGTGGGTGTTGAAGGAGCCGCCCCGGTGCGACCTCCTGATGAATCCTGTTGGCAAACACATCCCCAGGAGCAAACCCCCCTGGGACTTAAGGGCTCTGCCATCTCCTCCCACTCCTTTACATCCATGGAGTTCTCCAAGATGCTCCAGCTGCTGCAACTCCAGCTCTGCTGTGCCTGGAAAGTGTTGGTAGCCAGGATGTCCTCCCTCCAGGGCAGCTCTTGCTGAGCGTTTTGGATTCAGCAGCTGCTTTGGCCACCTTCTTCCAGCACTGATGGGTGTTTTGGTGGCTTTTATCCTATCTGCTGCCAAATGGAGCAGTTTCTTTTCCTTCCCTGCAGCCAAAGTGTTGCCGGGGGGGGGGCAGGAAATTAATACTGAGGGTTTGCCAAGGTTAGGGTGGTCTCCTGATGCTGGAGGATGAGGAGCTCAGATCCCATTGGGCTCTCCACATTCCTGGAGCAGATATTCCTTGGAGCTAGACAGGGAACCAGACTAATTTTTGGAGGCTAGTTTTTTCATCTTTTCCTTCCCAAGAAAAATTCCCACTCTCTATGGCAGGCACTGACTTTCTCTTCTCCCTTGCAGGGCTCCTGTGTGCAAAGTTGAGTTCCCTTCAGAGAGGCAGGAGTTGGCTCTGAGCTGTGACAGCTCATAAAGCTCCTTGAGCAGCTGGTTCTTCTAAAGCAGCTTTTCTTTCATTTTTTTTTTTTAAGGAAAAGTGAGTTTTTGAGTCAGACTCCACTGTCTGTTTCTCCCACCAGGAGCATCATCATAGCTGGGGAGCAGCTGTGAGCCCAGCTTCAAGCTGGCCCTGCTACCCCAAAGGTTAAACTAAAAGACTGAATATCATAGAAATAATCCCAGCTCCAAGGTTTCTCTTAATTTTTCTTGGATCTGAGGGTGTTCTGGGCAGGGCTGTGTCCCATGTGCAGGACAGGGAGTGCCCTGGTCCCTCTGTGCTTGTTCCCTTTGCAGCTCCAGGTTTTTGAGGCTGGGACCTGGGACAGCAGGGGTGGTTTTATTATCTTTTATGATTTATTTGCTCTCTACAACTGCCTGAGAGAAGGTTGGAGCGAGACAGGGTTGGTCTCTCCTCACGAGGAACAAATGATAGAACAAAAGGAAATGGCCTTAAGTTGCCCCAGAGGAGGTTTAGATTGGATCTTGGGAACAATTCCTTCCTGGAAAGGGTTGTCAGGCCCTGGCCCAGGCTGCCCAGGACAGGTGAAGTCCCCATCCCTAGAGGGGTTTCAAAGCCCTGGAGTTGTGGTCCTTAGGGACATGGGGCAGTGGTGGCCTTGGCAGGGCTGGGGGAATGATTGGACTGGAGGATCTGAAAGGGCTTTGCCATCCAAAACATTTTGATGATTCTGTGATCTCAGCCCTGGGTTTGGGAGGTGTGTCCCCACTGGCTGTAGGTTGGAAGAAACCACCATTCCAGGAGCAAGAAATCTCCAGGCTGGAATTTCAAAAGCATTTTGATAAGTTTTGGACTTTTCCAGACCCTAAACCTCTCAGTCCCAGTCCCTACAACCTGTCCTGCAGTGGAAATCTGCCGCTTCAGCTTTTGTTCCAACCTTTCCC